AAGACCAACGGGCTTGGAGAACATGAAGTTTCCTCCGTTCGGATGTCAGAAACTCAAGAACTTACAAATAGCTACACAATCACATCAAGCATTCGAATGATTCAATTCGTCTCGGTGAGAGTCGGTAAGACTAAGGGTCACAAGCTCTACACCGAGGTGTCGTGTTACGACGTCTTCGCTGACCTGCATGCATGCATCGTTGAGTCTGCCTGTCGAATGCCCAATGATCTTCAAGTCTAGTGCATCCAGGCATCAGATTTCCAAGCATCCAACTTCGTGCGACCGTTTGAAAATCCCATACCACTCGAAGTTGTCTGGGATAAGTACGTTGTGCAAGCCTCAAATTTCAGCTTTATCAAGTGTCACACTACATGGGAAAGCTCTCAACTCCTCCGTGCCGGACAAGCTGCCTGTTGTAAGCTGGCGCGCTGGAATATGCTCTCGTCGCGTAGTAAGCGGCCTGAGTCGCGACTTTTCCGGAACCGAATATGCGCTAAACTCCAGAGAGCCGTCCTTGTCGTCATGGAACACAGCGGAGAAGCATTTGTCAGCTCAAACCGCATTAGCAATCCGCTTCACATTCCACCTCAGTCCCTGGACAATTATAGCATTTTGCAACATATATATGCCCAATTGCAACATCCTGCGGTAGCCTAGCCTTAAACATTCAAACTTACCATCTTAATCCAAATAGTTTTCGTCTGAATCTATTGCCTACCCCAATCTCGACTCATCACACATCTCATTACAATGGCTGCAGCACGTCCTACTGGTCTCATCGCCAAGAAGGGCATTGAGCTCTTGACCTTCGGTGAGCACTATAAGATAATGCACCTTCAGCTATGAACTTTTCCTAAACAGATATGCTCAGGAACTCCGAATGGCTACAAGGCCAGCATCATCTTGGAGGAACTGAAGGAGGCCTACGGGCTCCCGTTCGTGGTCCAGAGCATCAACATCATGCAAAACATCCAGAAGGAGCCATGGTTCACATCGCTCAACCCCAACGGCCGTATCCCCGTCATCGTTGATCACGACAACGAACAGCTTGCCGTCTTCGAGGGCAGCGCCATTCTCAGCTATCTGACGCGCAAGTACGACACTGAGCACAAGTTCTCATTCGCCCTCTCGGACAATGACTATACCCGAGCTGAGTCTTGGATTGGCTGGCAACACGGTGGACTGGGACCCATGTAAGTTGAAACGTCTGATGATGTTGAGGAGAAGTACATGTACTCATCATCTATCAGGCAAGGTCAAGCGAACCACTTTGTGAGGTTTTCCAAGGAGAGAATCCCTTACCCCACACAGCGCTACGTCGGTGAGACGGAGAGACTTTTTGGCGTTCTAAACACGCACCTCGATAAGCGGGACTTTGTCGTCGGCCCGGATCGCGGACGCTACAGCATTGCTGATATCTCAATGATCGGATGGGTGCAAGGCGCTCCCATGGCAGGCGTGGATATCTACCAGTTCCCGAACGTCAAGGCTTGGTTGGATAGATGTTATGAGAGACCTGCTGTTCAGCGAGGCATTCAAATCCCCAGCTCTCCGTACATGTCTGTTGCCAGCATGGAGAAGAGACTGAAGGAAGAGAAAGATCTTGTCGAGAGTGAAGCAGAGGTGAAGAAGCAAGTCGATGAGGCGAAGAAGGCTTACGGCTACGTCTACTCGTCGCCTTAGATCCCAAGTAAGGAAAAGATGTGCTGCCTTCGACCTTTGTATAATAGTGTCAAACAAGGCTTGTGTGATAGGGATGAAATTGTAAAGCAAACTTCAATTCAAATAGAGATAAGGTCCAAGTGTCTTCGACTATCAATTCGTCCATTCTAATCCTTCTTTAGTACTTTATGTCCTCAATACAAGTGCATTGCGCCATTCTATCCCTGAAAGTATTGAAAATACCTTGACCGGTAGTCATATCAAAGCCAGAGCCTTGATGAAGATTGGCCTACGTAGGAGCCTATTCCTCCTCAACTCGGACGGAGATATCAATCTCCTCCTTGCGTCGACGAACCGAGATCTTGACATCCGAGTCCGATTCGCGTGTGAACCCAAACTCTGCGAACTTCGGCTTCTCGCCCTCGACGAACTTCATATCGTACTTCAGAAGCATATGAGCAAGCAACACCTTGGCCTCATTTCCCGCAAAGAAGCGGCCAGGGCAGGAGTGCATGCCATGACCAAAGCCCATGTGGTTGACACTGGTGCTGACAAACTGGCTGACTGCGTCGTTGGGGCCGCCGCGCTCGCGGTAGAATCGATAGCCATCGAAGACGTGCGGGTTCTCGTAGATCTTTTTATCCCACATGCGCTCGGCTGAGACGACGGTCGCGCTGCCGCGGCTGATGAGCGTTCCATCGGAGAGCTGGACGTCTGCTGTGGCGCGACGGGCCATTCCCACTTGAGACATCTGTGAGCAACGATTCCCTCAAGTTGGGTCTGCAAGTCGTGCAGGAGACATATCGAAAGAACTTACCGATCTGGTTCGGCTTCAGTCGCTGACTCTCCTTGAGGACACTGTCCAGGAGCTTCATGTTGTAGAGCGACGTCTTCTTCCATCCTCCCTCGCCAATGACTTGAATAGCTTCTTCTCGAAGAGGTTGGATAAGCTCAGGATGCTGAAGAATGTCGTAGAGAGTCTGGGTGACTAGATCCGCCGTAGTATGGATCGCCACGCCAGCCAGAATCAACTGCGCGACCGCCGGGTTGAATTTCTGTCCCTTGGCCATCTCCTTGAACCACTCGATGGCATCGTTGTACTCTTCGACGGAATTGCCTTCCTGTTGGCGATGCTTGATCTCCGCAAAGACTTGCGTCTCAGCGTCTCTGATGTACGCGCGCAGCTTCGTGGGTCCCGGAAGGAAGTACACCACGATGCCTCGAAGGAACTTGGGCCAGAAGCGGAGATTCTGCATCGCGTGGACGCTGAGCTCGACGTAACCTACGATGGTGCTCTGCCATTTCTCGTTGCGTCCTAGCCGCTTCCCGACAAAGATCCGGGATGACATCCGGGACACAATCTTAAGGATTTCATGTTTGGCCACCGTGTCATGCCATTCTGCGCCATTTGTCAGCACCGAGTTAAAGTCCAACATGTTGACGTTGTGGGATTAAGTGTACCAGTCGAGTCGCCTAGCGTGTCCTTTAGGCTTTCTTCAACTTCCTGCGAAAGAATGCCCGAAATCTTGCCTGCAAAAGATCGTCTCAAGTCAGCATTGTTCAAGGCGTGTAAGTGGCTACAAGATTGCTGCTAGACATACCAAGGGTCTTGGTCAGCCTCAGCTTGACCACATTCTGGATACGTTCAGAAGGGTGGCAGGCTTCCTTGTAAGCCTCAAAGCCCGCATATTGTCCTTGGAAGTCCTTTGTCATCAATGTCAGTATAAGGTTGCTGGTCGACCAACAAAGTCCCATTTTGTTCCCCCTTGGAAGACTCACCTCAAACAAGCCTTGAACGAAGCTAAATCGCTTGTCATTCCGAATCTCTTGGCCAACGTCAGGTGGCAGGATAATGACATCTCCAACATCGCACAGCACACGGAAAGGCTTGCCGAGGAAGTCTTTCGCATGCTGGTACAGCATTCGATAGGAGTTAAACACGAACTCCCGAACAACCCTGTCTGAGGACCACTCAAACTGTCCTTTGGGATTGAGATACGGGAGCTTGGTGCCATGGTCTCTCATCCAGAATAGGACGAGAATGGCAAGTGGTACACATGTTCCGAGCACATAGTACCAAGGGGTTTGGCCGTCTTCTTGGCTGTCCGTAGCCGCGTTGATGAGCGACTCGTTGGAAAAGGTAATAGTCTCCATAATGGTCGTGTAAGAATTGATTTATTGTCTGACGCTTGATTGGTGCAATGATGTTCAGACAAATCTGAGAGCTTCAATCCCAATGTGGCCGCACGACATATACCCATCATCATGGCGGACTATCGGACTGACGACAATTCGGTGGGACGCACCAGCCATCCGGACGTTGAACCTCCGCGAGTCCGCGATCCGTAGTCTTCGGACGAATACATGTTCAAGCCGGCCCGCGTCCGCACCGACTGAACACAATCCGAACGGCATCCTCTCAGATCATGCCAATCAAAAGGCTCATTGACGGGCGTTCGGACAAATCTTGATCGGAGGACGGTGCTCATCCCACCGGCCTCGATGTCGCAAGTCAGTCTGTCTCCTGTCTCAACTGCCAGCCAAGACGCGGCTCGTACCGAACGTGAAGTCTGGGGCCAATCAGTCTCTCTGCTTATCCGATACTGATGGGGTTCATCTCCTTCTGCCGGTGGGATGAATGCACCATGCTCAGGAAAGTTACGTCATGACTAAATGATCGACTCAAAAACAAATCCCGTCAGGAAGTCTAATTCCGTCGTTTCAAATTGCAATTACCTACGGTCACTATAGACCTTGGCTTAAATGCACGTCGTTGTTTAAAGTTCATCGAAGTAGGTAAGAGACGATCCCGAACTAACGGAGTAACTCTAGCCATCTTCAAGCGAATATGTAGGTGTACTCCGAAAGCACTTTTGCCGGCATCGAGAATTTCGTCTAGTGCTTTCCAGTGTTACCCTTCAAGCAATGTCCATCTTGTTTGGTTGCAGACAGCGTCTCAAGCAAAGAGCCAGCAGCGTTATTACAAACAAGTCAGTGTGGCCAGGCAGAGAGAAAGGTGCCAAAAAAGTGCCAAAATAGTGCAAAAAAAGGCCGCAGCAAGGAGTCGAACTCAAGGGGTCGAGGTCCGTCTCAACAGAGACATGTGGAAATCCCACGACACCAGCTGAGTGTTCCACTGGGCCAAGGCGCCCAAGCAGGCGCCTTCTACTTGTATGACTGAGGAGGTTGAGTCGATTGTAAAGGCTTTGGCTGCTGCTGGGCGGTGAGAGTAGGCGACCCGGATGGGACGAGGCTGGGATAAAGTGCGAGGCAAGAGTGGGCGCCAGGTGATCGCAGGCCATCATGTCCCCCGTAGGTGTCTAAGTGATCCATCCAGGTTCCGACGCAAAGCGAGTGCTACATGCTGTCAGGCCCGGTTGGGCTGGCAGTACAATGTTGAGAAATGATCCTCACACGTAACCCGATCAAGGTCGAAAGAGGCTTCACGGATCAGGCTGATTTGCTACAGGTGAAATGTTCATGAGGTGGTGTTCCCGCTGCGTTGGAAGGAGGCGTCGCTGATCGATCGCCGTACCTATCAACCCCGACGTCGGTTGCTGCTAACTCAAGGCACCTAGAGGCTAATGAAATATTTTCTTTCAGTTGAAAAGATCCCTCCACATTTCCTTGAAGCCATAGTGAGGAGCCCTAGAATCGTATATCTTGGCCGATGTTCCCTCCTTACTAAAACGATCAAAAACCGTGACTCGGCCGCCCCCTGCTGCATCAAACAATGTCTTTGTCGGCCTAGTAGCTCTCTCTCGGATAGTCTCTGCCACGAGAGGCGCAACATCAGCGTAGCAAGCCTTTAGCTCGCGCTCAAGCGAGAAATACGGCTTCTTCGCCAGTTCTGGCGCCATGAGGTTGTATGAGCGCGTGATCGCGTTGAGGTTGTTGACGGCAAGGTTCATATACGAGCTCTCAGTTGCAAGCCAATCAGAATCGCGGAACGGTTGTACCAGTGGCCGAGCAGGCTTCGCGGATGTTGCCTCTGATCCAACCTCGCTAGTGCTGTTGCCCTCGACCGCCTGTCGACGCACCTTCGCCATGACAGGATCATCCGTCACGTTGGTGGGTACCGAAATACTGTCGCTGTTCCTCTTACGCGGATTATGGCGTTCCTCTGCACGCGCGTAGTCCTCGGCCAATAACATCTTCTCTTCCAAGCTTCCACCTTTCGACGATATCATCCTGGCCACGTGCCTCCTCCAATCGTTGCGTAACCTCGCTCTGAAGACGCCAGCCGTTTTAGCCAACTCCTGCTGTTTCTCTATCCATGGTGGCACAATCTCCTGTCTCTTGATCATCTTGTTCATGATGTACTCGGTAGTATCGATAAAAGGATTATCGGCTCTTGCGTCTCTTTCTACCCCCTTGCCGCGAGGGATGTTCTTGAATTGCCCACGAGCAATAGCGTCCTCTATCCTCTCGTTGGCCAGTGACTCGAGGCCGGATATAGTGTTTGGCACAGCTCGAGCTGCTGCTCCAAATCGGTCGCGGAGCTCTTTCCTAAACTCTTCGCGTTCCTTGGCGCTTTGCCCACTCTCCTCCTTGAATCCTAGTGCAGTGTATGTCGAGGCCTTCTCGCGAGCATTCGCAGCCCGCTGGCTAGGATTCGTCTTCGACTCTTTTCGCATCCGCATATCGACGGGCGGAATCTGGAACTGTCCCCTCAACTCGGGCTTGAGGGGCTTCTTCGCATCGTTGAGCATTCGCAGAACCGTATCGGACTGTGACTCTTCGCCCGTCCAAGCCTGCGCCGCAGCTATTGAGCGTGTCCCTTCGCCTGCTGAAGTGGGCATTTGGGCCTCTGCGAAAGCGGATGCGTATTGGGATCGGAATTTGGCGGTCTCGACCTTGTCGAGAAGCCGCTGCTTCAGCTCTTCAGAAAACCCAGCATCCTCGATAGCTTGACGCCCGCGCCGGCCACCAGTCAAAATAGCTTCCTCTGTAGCTTCCTCGAGCTTTCGCGTCATGGCTCCCTTTTCTTTCTCCGGGCCATTGTTACTGCGATCAGGTGTTGGAGCTTCGGAAGCTTCGGGGGATCGGTCGGATGTGTAAAGTCGACATCTCGCTGCGAGTGGTTCAGTGCGCCAACGTGAGGGTAGACGGCGTCCCCAGGCCAGCGGTGTTTGTGAAAGCCTAGTCGCCATATTCAAGATCCCAGTCCTCGGTGGACGTCGGGGGAGAGAACATGGTTGAGAGTGTCAAGCTATAGTCGCGAGGTTGTTAGGAATTAGTCTTGTTTCGTGATGTCAACGAAAGGAAGAAAGTGGCGATTGACGGAATTAAGCACGGACCAGCGGCCGACCAGCCGAGGGGCTCACCTCTTGACGGAGCGCGATCGGGATGGGCCCATATTTTGTTCGGTAAGACGGTGCTGTCAAAGCCGGCATATTTCGGCGATCCAATGCCACCTCGCCATTGCGCTTACCACCATCTAATTGCAACTACGTTGGCAGGTGGGGGACGAACTGATTTGCTACTCAATGAGAATTCTTGCTCCTACTTTTATCAAATCGCTATTGTCATCATGACTTGAACTTGTAAGTTGACCGGCAACCTATTCTACCTATTCTCCGCTTGCTTGCACAGCACGTCATTCAGAACTCTAGATCAAGACTTGATGGGATCACTGCTCACTCTGCTAATCCCGATGTCCCACATGATATCACAGAAACGTCCACTCAGAGTAGGATAGTTTCGTTCAGTAGGTAGGGAGGTAGCCAGAAATTGAGCAATGAGACTGCTTCCTCTTGGATTGAAGGAGATTCGATACATACTTACCTACTTGTTTATTTTTCTTTTTATCGTATTCCTTCACGCTTCCCAAAGATCTATTGACCCAACACTCAAACAGTGAAATCTACCAGCACCTTGTCCATCTCGGCGTTAAAGCTCTCATAATAACTTTGTCTCTTGTTCTCAAATGCATCAAACATTGGCTTCGCGGTTCCGACCGGGATCTGATCCTCTCCATTGACCCATCTCTGGTAGACTTCGTCGGCGAATTGGTCTACCGGCATGCCAATAGCATGGCCGTTCTTCAAGTCCGGCTGGTTCTTGGCATCGTGCAGTTCCGTCTGCACTGCGGGTGGGTAAACTTCGACGATCTTGACCTTTGAAGACGCATCCTTGAGCTGGGATCTGAGTGCGAGAATAAAGCCGTGCATGGCAGCCTTGGAACCGCTGTAGTTGGGGCACCGCTTCATCGGGATGAGGCCGAGCTGAGAAGTTGTGTAAAGCAAGGCGGTCTGCTTGTCTTGCTTTGAGAGATGGGGGAGGAAGGCCTTGGTCAGGTGGACGTGGGAGAGGTAATTCGCGAGGAGCTCATCGTAAACGATGTCCAAACTGATGTTTTCAGGCTTGGTGAAATCGATACCTCGCTGAACTCCGGCGTTTAGGAGTACACAATCGAGATCAGGATGCTCGTTGATTATGGACGCAGCAAATTCCGGAATCTTTAGACAATTCGTTAGTCTCATCCTTTACAAGACCGTCATGAACGGCAAGAGCCTCAACATACCGACTCCAATTTGAGGATATCCACAACAGCTGCCGCGGCCTTGCTCGCGCCGTGCTTCGCAACGAACTTGTCGAGGTTCTCCTTTCTTCTACCGGCAGCGATGACGAAGGTGCCATTCTCGACAAGTTTGTCCGCTAGAGCTGCACCGATTCCCGAGGTCGCTCCGACTAACAGGACTTTCTGGTAAGGCAGAGACATGACGGTTGCAGATGGAGTGGCTAAGACCAATTGGATATGTGAGATGTGATGTAATAGAAGAAAGATACAGCCAACGTAAATGTTTAGTGTTGCTCAGATTTGGCCTGGAATCTCAAGACAATCGCGCTTTATATTCAAATACATCCGGGTTGGCTAGCAGCTAGGAATCTCTAGTGAACTCACGACATTTATAAGCCTGTACGGGATTTATCAGCGTAAAACCTGTACAGCATCTGAAGACTCGACTAAAACCTAGCTTAGAAGATTCTGGGCTGATCGTGGGGATGCATCGGTCCGCTTGTCGTGGTACGGACTGTTCCGGTTCGCCACCTGGTCCAACATATCGGCCAATGGGGGGCCTACGTCGATTCAGCTCGGATTACCCCCACACCACGCTATAAAGTTGAGTAGAGAGCCAACAACCACTGGTCTCACTACAACAAAAGCAATACGTCATCTCGTTATTCTTTTTCCTGTTGAAACGAATGTAGCAAGTCATTCCATGGTGCGCTTCTAGTTGACTTAGGCATACGTATCTTCCTACGCCGCTCAAGTCTAGGCTCAACCTACTGAATACCGGCTTCACTGTACACCTTCAGTCTTCGAATACTACTACGTTAACGACCATTTTGAGCAATGGCATGCGTGACTTCTTTAGACTCTAGCATACTTGAAAATGTTTACACCTCTAAAGTGCCAGGTGTCAAGAAAACTAAAATACTAAACTTCGATTCGGCAATGCCCCGTCAAATCTACGCCTGCACTCTCATACACAAATTGGCGGGGACAACTTCCGGCCGTCAACTTGGTCA